GGAGGGGGGCAACATTTACCGATAGATTATATAGCTTTTAGGGCAGAATGATGACTCATGATATGCCTAGACAAAAATAATTGAGGCTTGTATATTTAAAAGTGATATCAATATGAAATGACATTGCTATAATTAAATACGATAAATAGCTTATGAACATATTTTTTATTATATTTATGATTTCATGCTTATGACATATATGTTTATACAACGGTCTTGATTTCTATGCTACCTACTTTTTTTTTCATGTCTATATGATTCTAGCATATTGTGAATTCTGTGTAGACCTGTATGGTCTATAAAATCTTATTTTAGTCTTAATTATTTCTTTGAGCTCATTATGGTGCAATCTAGAGCAATGAGCACCAAAGTGAGTAGCCATGTGTGATTTGTACAACTTTTAAACTATATGCTTTTGGGGAGCATGCACGGATTTTTTTTGTACATATTTTATTATGTTGAATTTAGCAGCTCTATATAGTTTTTATGTTTTGAGGCTATGCCTTTTCACGCTTCTGAGTATGAATATGAATGAATTATGAAATACAATATATCATGTATATTGCAGCAACTTGGTTATACTATTTCATCACCCACTGGACCATGATTCTGCAAGTTAGGACGAGTATTGGTCAGAATTTAGTCCGGCCGAATTGTTCACATTTGTCGCACCTCAGTCAACCCTTAAAGGGGGTCAATTGGGATGTGACACTATCCTCTATAAATAAGAGGACCCTTTCATGTTTCAGGACTTTTGGATCCCTTGGATGTACCTAACCATTCGATAAAATAAAATGGTAATAGAGCCTGTGAACACCCTTCTTACCCCTAAAGAACATGTCTTGTTGTTCACTCTCTCTGCCTTTCTCTCTCTTGGCTCAAATGCTTTATCACTTGTGTGTGATTTACAAGACAAATTCAGATTTAACAAAAAATAACTTTAAGAGATTAAAATTAACATGTAATTAATCTATCCTTAATCACTCAGCAATATTACTTACCCTTTCAATCTTATCATAGCTATTAAAACATCCAAATACAACTTTTTTTTTCCTGCACGTTCAAAGCATGAAAACTCTTATTAAAAAAAGTACATTTAACCAGTAAGCTAAACCCTTCCACAATGCATGCAAACCATTCTAAGATCAGAGTCAAAGAGAGATAAAAGCAACCATAGTTTGCTAGTAATTATCTGTTTCATAAGAATAACACGCACATTGCAATCTGCAACCAATAAGTTAAATTAAGGATAGAGATTTACTAATTATCAGCAGACATAGAAATCACGGCCATGGTAGTTCCAACCGTGAAGAACAACCCTCGGTGTGACCCCTTGAGGAACCTCAAAAGAGATGTTAATGGCCATCGACTCGCCCGGAACCAGCGAGAAGTAGTTATCAGAATAATGAACAGGAAGGATTCGAGTGTCATCAGCTTCTTCTTCCACCTTCTTTGCAGCATGAACAGAGAAATGGAGGAAGAAAGCCACTCCAGACTCGGATCCAGTAACTTCAAACACCCTCCAGCCTTTCTCCAGTTTTGAGAATTGGAGGGCACTGCAAATCCTACCAAATACACCATTTTTAGTCCTTGCTGCTTCAAGTTCTTCAACATGATCCACTGACCTGCTTTCCTGATTATCACTCCAATTCTTATTATCTAACAGATTTCTTAGGATTCCAGAGTTTAGGTTCTTAGACATATTTAGAACATTCATCTGCATTTTGTAAGTGGAGCCTGTGGCAGATATTTGAGAAGTAATCTTCAGTGGCACTTTCTTTGCACGATAATGCTCCAGCGTGTTGTAATTACCATCTGGCAGATGCAACCAGTACAAGTTTCTTGATATAATGCTTGTATCTGACACTCTGAAAAGTTTGAGCAGAAGAAAATAGACCGGTTTTGCATTCTTTGATTTTGGATATTTGAGTTCGACAATCTGTAATACTTTTTTCGACGGCACCGAAAGTTTCTCTGTAATATTGTAATATGGGCATTTACCATCAAGATCCCAAACTGAAACTTCTACGGATACACCTGACAGTTCATCTGATGTGGTGTTCACTACCTGATTAAACAAAAACAAAATGTTCACTCATACTAAACTTAAAAGAGGCATTTACGTATATAGCACCCAATTCCTATATATGTACTTTATCTGACTCTTAAACTTTACTTTTTACATTTATATCACCCAAATCTTTCATATCAAGTTAAAAAAATCACTATTTTAACTTTTTAAAAAGTGAAATACACCTTTTTATGCATATGTAAGGTGGCAAATATGTAAAAATTAACGTTTAGTTGTTAGATATGTAAATCTATAGAATTAAGTGGTATGCATGTCAATCTTCCAACTTAAAAAATAGATATCAGAAAGCTGATGAAAATGACTTGTGCGTATAGTTTCTAACCTCAATGCAGTTGGTGGCTAGATTGAGCTGCACATGAATAGGCTCAGAAGCGCTGCGGCAGCCATAAAAACCTGCTGTTTGATCATGGAGATGATCATAAAACTGACCTCTTAGACCAGTCCATGGATTCTGCGTCTTCCAGATATTAACACCAGTGTACTTAGTCCACATTCGAGAAGTCCATCCTTCAAGGAGGGCTTTATATTGTACATAATTTACAAGTTGTGCCTGAAATAGGAGAAAGCTCGAAAGGGAAGATGAAACATGAACAAACAAAAAAAAAACACGAACAGGATAAGGAATAAGTTGATATTTCAGTTCACCTTTTCACAAAAATCATCGAGGTTCTTTGGGCGACCATATGATTCGATCTGGTCATGGACCTTTCCTGGTTTTGAGTATGGGATATATTTATGGTAGGTCCATATTGGATTTGGAACTTCTTCTATGTAGCCACTGGAGAGCTTTCTAAACAATGGGATTTGCCACCCTTCTGGTGGCATTGTGGCTCTAATAGTAGCTGCAACTGGCATCCCCACAGATCCAACCTCAGGATTGAAACCATATTGATAGAAATCATCCTTGAAGAAATCTTCTGGATTTTGTATTTCATATGGGCCATCAGTAAAATCACCTTTCCCATTTGCAAAACCATCCCACATTGATCCTTGAACATAAGCACGGGTTCCATCAAGATATTGACTAGGATCAGTTGATTCTTGTGATAAATCTTCACAAACATTGGAATTTTCATCATAAAACTTGAATAGAGGATGTAGCTTTAGGTAATTCATAAGAGCTGAGTTGATGTCTTTTGGAGGAGTTTGTTCATTTCCACCAACCCAGAGAGCAAGACTAGCATGGTTCCTAAGAAGCTTGATGGTGTCTTGTGCACAAAGAAGAAAAAGGTTATGATCCAATGGACCGTTAGGGTTTGATACAGGTATGCCTCTTCCATCACAGTCACCCGTTATCCAGAACTCTTGCCAAACCTGAGACATGGAAATATCATCAATAAATTTTGAAACAAATATTAAATACGACAAAATATTTAAGGAGTAATGGTTAAGAATTTAATAGCGATAGGTGTGCTGGGATGGAATGAGCCCTTGGGGCTTCCATTGGTTCCCAATCAAAACAACGCGTTGGAATAGGATCCCACCAATTTGAGAAATCCAGAATAAAATAAATCGAATAGAAGCACAACAAAGTAATTTAAGAAAATCACAAAAGGATTTACGTGGAAAAACCCAAAAATGTGAAAAAAATACGAAGCCACGCCATCAAACATTTCACTATGAATGCGAGAAACTTATAGAGTACATCACTCAGATCTTCTCTCTAAAATCACAGAAACTTACAAAACTCTCCAAATCTTCCTCGCAATCTCACACAAGAAAACTCTCGGTGAAATCCTCCTCCTTGATACTTTTCCGTTTCACGAAAAGCTTTGTCGAGAAATATTGCATGCGCATGAATCCCCTCATCACTCGAATCTCGAACTTAAAAATCAAATAGTAGATAACCGTTCCAACAACATAACCACTCCGAGAAGAGATGTAATTATTTCATGAACTCTTTTCCTGCAAACTTGGAACCCACGGATCATTGGCTTAAATATGCCCAATTGTGGCATGGTCATGCCGCCCAAAGTGGCTACGACACCCATTTTAGGCATGGCTAGGCCACGTTGTAGTCGATGCTTATTGCGGTCGTGTGCTAATGGTGCTTCAGGCTCCATTTCACAACAATCTCCTCCTTGGAAATTGATAGCACTCAGTATTTGTCCTCCAGATTTGTACCTCATCTATACCATCTTCATAGTCCCATACCATAGAGTGGCTCACCCCTAATCTCAACATTCTTGAAATCCAACTGAAGCCAAGCATAGCTCCAGTTTCTCGATAGTCACTACCTTCATCAGCATATCCGTAGGATCCTAAGTTGTCTTCTTTAAAAGTAACTGCACAACTTCTAGGAAAAAGCAAAAAAAGTGATACCTCATTTGGATATGTTTTATTCTAACAAAAAAAGTGGTGTGCTTAGCAAGATGAATAACACTCATATTGTCGCTATAAAGCTTTTTCAATCCCCTGCTTCTTGCTTGGTTCTATGATAAAGCTATGTAGCCAAATCATCTCATTATAAGCCTCAGTGATAGCAATGCATTTAGCCTCCGTAGTTAAAAGTACAACAATCTTTTGTAAACTAGAAACCCAACTCATCGTTGTGTTCCATAAAGTGAAAATATATCCTGTTATACTGTTTCTACCATCCAAATCTCTTGTCAGATCTGAATATACAAATCCCTGTAGATTGATCCTTGCACATCTATAACAAAATGTCATGTTGATTGTTCTTTTCAAATACCTGAGAATCCACTTTATCACGACTGAAAGATGTCTGTCTGAATTGCTCATGTACCTGCTAACCGCTGCCACTATATATACAATATCTAGTCTGATATAAATCATTACATGCATCAAGCTTCGAATTACTGAAGCATACAAAGTTGTCCCCATCAGCACTTACTCTACTGATGACTTAGGGGATAATTTTTAGATAAGCATGAAGTGACTACTTGAGGGAGTGCAAATTGGTTTTACCTCACCCATGTTGAACCTCTATAGAATCTTATCAACATACTCCACCTGAGGCAATTTCAGTGTACTTACACTTCTCTCATTGTAGATTCTCATCCCCCGGATCATACTGGTTGGGGACCTAAATCCTTCATCTCGTATACACTTGATAATTTCTCATTTAAGTCTCTACTTTTCTCCATATCTTCACTTGCAATTAGCATGTCATTCACAAACAAAAGGAGCAAGATATAACAATAGCCAAACTTTTTGATAAATCAACAGTGGTTTGTGTCACAACCCAGCCCGGAGCTTGGAATTAACCAAGACAGAAAAGACGGTCAGACAGTCGAAATCAATTCTCTGTAATTCTATTTTTATCACTAACAATTTAATATTCAAAAATACATGAAAGCACCACTAAAGAATGAAATTAAAATTAAGTATAATTTTTTACCTTTCCGATCGTTATGCTCACCACCTATACACATTTGATTATCTTCTATTTATCTTGTTCAAAAGCTTAAAACGTAAAAAAATAAAGTAACATAATAAGTTATTCTAAAGAAAACTCAGGAGTAACTATACTTCAAAACTATAGTAACACAGAAAATAAATCAATATGCATACTAGTATTTCATATATATATATATAAGAAATCTTATAATATGTTAGTATTTCATATTTTAAAAAAAGACTTTATATATACTAATGCATGCATAAATGATATTTTCTAAATGAAAATACTCAAATCTTCTATATGTATTTATTCTAATTTTACTTCTACTTTATACTTTTTACATACACATCTGTCTTTTTGAAGATCTCCGTCAACAAAACTTAATACACTCTTGACCGATATTATTCCGTCAATACAACAGTTTGCGATTTAAACATCACAATTATCTAGGGTGAAAAGACCCTTACCTGCTCATGACCGATATTCTCATATCGACATAACTGTTATTGATAGAAACATTACAATTGTCTGGGGTGGTAAGTTTTGTCTACTTGCCTCTGAACGATATTATTCTGACGGCACAACAGTTAGTGATCTAATTATCGCAATTATTTGGGGTGATAGAAAGACATATACGTGTCCGGGTACATTAGCGTCCCCTGTCTATCTATTAAGAAGTAAACTCCTCTGAATATGCGCATACAAGCATTTATAGATAAGTTCATTATTCATAGCATACATAATTCTAAGACATCTTAATTCATATACTAATATACATATTTATTTTGTTATGCAATTACTCATTATACATATCTCTTATATCATGCATATTATCAATCTCTTATCTCATCCATATCTCTTCTATAATTAATTTTTCTTAAATCATGCATATCTTTCACGCCATTCATATCTCTTTCATATCATGCACATTTTTTTTCTATCGAGCTTATCATGCATATCTATCACATCTAACAATATAAAAGATCAAACCAAACTCGAGCATATAATGAGTTGAACATATATTTTGAAATAAAAAAGATTACTGAACTTTAAAAATATAACTACCTATCTCGGTTGCCACATTAGATTCTTAATCTACAGTAACTAGCTAAATGTTGTGACAACTTTTATGTTAATAATAATAACTTATAAATTATAATATCAAACTTTAAGATTTAATCACTTTTCGTTAATCAATTTATTCTTAGCATAGAATTAATTTACCTAAATTTACGAAGTCATCCTACAACTAGCTTCTACATGTTTGCCTTAAGCTCCCCACCTTGTATAAATAACCTGAAATTTGTAAACATCTTAGGATTTTATAATATCTTTACTCGAGTGATTTAATTCAAAACATAACAAATTTGCCAAAACGTGCCTCAAACGGGCTTCACGACATAATCTAACCCTTCTCTGAAATTGTCTATTCTCCTCTCTTATTCTTCTTATCACCATATGTCACGACCCGATCCAGGGCTTAGAGCTAACCAAGATAGAAACGAACGGTCAGATGGTGAAAATCAATTCATTGTTATTCTAATTCAATTACAAACAAATTAATATTCAAACAATGCATGACATGAAAGAGTCACTAAAGAAAACAATTAAAATTAACAAATTGAACTTTGTACCTTTCCGTTTGTTGTCCTATTCTTCTATATACATTTGCTCATCTTCTATTCTTAGTCAAATATTTAAACCTAAAAAATAATATTAAAACAATATAATGAGTTATCTAAACATAACTCGGGAGCAATTTCACATTTAAACAACAATAATTCAAGGAAAAAAATATAATATGTGTGTCTATAAGAAATCGTATAATATGTTGGTCTTTTTTATTTATTTATAAGCAATCTAATAAATGTTTATAAGCAATCTTATATATGTTTATAAACAATCCGAGATATGTTTATAAGTAATTTGATATATGCTAATACATGCATCAATGACCTTTTATAAATGAACAAACTCAATCTTTTATAAGCATACAGTTTAACTTTAGTTTTACTTTATACTTTGCATACATATATGTCTCTGTGAGGATTACCGACAACAAACCTATCACACCCTTAACTGATATTTCCCCGTTGGCACTCGTCGGCACAACGGTTAGCGATTTTCACATCGCAATTAACTAGGGAAGAAATACCCTTACTTGCCTCTGACCAATATTATCCCGTCAGCATAGCGGTTAGTAATGTAAACATTACAATTGTCTGGGAAAGTGATTTCTGGTCTACCCTCCTTTGACTGATATCATCCCGTCGGCACAACAGTTAGTGAAGTAACTATTACAATTGTCTGGGATGATAGAAAAACTCTACGCGTGCATGTTCACTGGCGTCCCCTGCCTGTACCATTAGGGGGTGAAATCCTCTAAACAAGTACATGCAAGCATTCATATATAAGTTATTCCATTCTTCATACATACATTATTTTGAGATATTTTTATTCTATTTTACAACTATTCATTAGGCATTCCTTCATATCATTCATATATCTATCTCATGCATATCTCTTACTTATATTATACATATCTTTCATACATGTCTATCTTATATGTTTATCTTATATATAATATCTATATAAATATTATTCATCTTATGCATATCTTTCATGCATGCACATCTTTTCCTATTATGCTTATCATGCATATTTGTCCTATCAATATGAATGATCTGAATAAGATATAACATACATGAAGTCAAACATATAATCTGAAATAAAGATGATTACTAAAATTTAGAAATGCAATCACTCACTTTATTAACCACGCTAAACTCTTAACCTTCGACAGTTATATAAAAATTATGGTGACTTTTCTATTGAGCTCAACAACCTATAGAACATAATATTTAAATTTCTATGATTTAAACGATTTTTATTAATTGAATTAATTTTCTTAGCTTAGGATTAACTTACCTAAATTTTAACGAAGTCGACC